CCGCATATATATAGAAGTGAAAATGGGTCAAGTGAACATGTGAGCCTAATGGGCCGGACCCAAGCTCAGTATGAGATATTTATAGGTATAACAATAGTACTCAAAGTATGAGTCGTATATTCATGTGCTGGTCGGACTTCGAAATATAAGCTGTCGGTAGGTGAGGTCTTGCAGATTGCCTCAGAAATATAAATAGCTCCGATAAATCAGGATTTACGAACTGCTTTTTGAAAAATATGTGTGACAGTCTGAATAAGCAAGACTTACAATTGCCTCATAAGGTGTCGCATATAAAATGCCTAAATTTCGACATCTCCTCTGTAATATGGATTAAACCAATCCCGTAATACAATACAAGATATCCACTGCACATATACCAAATAAATTTGGAATCCATTTGCCCCTCAAATTACTCATGACTATAAAGTAAATAATGATCTATCGAATTTCTCCAAGATATACTATGCGTCATAACCTGCTAGCAGTGATGTAAAGTACGTACTCGGCAGCAATAATATAATGCATATACTAGCAATAATCATGTAATGATTCTAAAATACTACTATCACATTTGTCCCCCAAGTCTGAATCGAATATTTGTTAAATAAATAAAATGAGCTCATGTACCGGTGTTATTTACTTTTAGCTCAAGGAGATTGTTCTCCCGACTGCCTTTTGTTCTTCAACCATTAATCGAAAATAACCATTTTTCATGGCGGATTTTTCAACCCAAGTTTCTTCAACCCTTTTCCAATTTCTCCCTTTCTTCAAGGAAATTTTCAGATGCTCCCAGTGACCATTCTTTCATCTTTTGAGATAATTAAATCATCAATCACCAACATTTGGGTTCAGTTACTACTTTCTCATCCAGAAATAAATGGTTACCGAATGCTCACCAACTCTCAAAAAAAATTACCTATCCATCATCCGTTTCACTTTCGTCCATCCAACTATGCAAAAATCTCTACATGGCAAACGAAAATCTTACGTGGCTACTAACACTGTTAAAAATTGACAAGTGGATATTAATTAAAGCGATTTCTTCCCAAAATTTGAATGAATTGTCATTTACATTTTTCAATGTCTTCTCCCCCAATGCTCTATACGATTCATTTTCACTTCAATTTGAATGAATTTAGGTTTACATGCAATAATAATAGTAATGATCAGCATTGACCAAAAAAAAAATGTGTCATGTCACTGTTGCCAGCATAATTACAAAATTTATACAGTAGCAAATTTGTTTATGGAAGGAACTCAAATAAAAGAGTAATGTTATTCATCCCCAATGGGGATGGAAACACAGTCTATGTGTCTTTAAATGATAGGTTAAATGAAAGGTGAAATTAAATGACTTATTTAATTTCACCTATCATTTAATGCCACATTGACGCCACGTAGACTGTGTTTTTATCCCCAGTGGGAATGAATAGCATTACTCCAAATAAAATGATCTACCAATTAATTAACGTACTAAAGTATATTTTTCAGCTGAATATTTAATTTAATGTACTAAATGTGCAATAAAGTAGTTCAGTGTCGATCCAAATAATATTTTATTCAAAAATAAAATTGGCTAATAACACTTGAAGTGTAGTTTTTTTCTTGCATGTATCAGTAGTAGCACCTTAGACATGATAACCTAGAGCACACCAAATTACAAAAAGTAATACTCATTCATTCTCTTCAATTTTGAGATTTTCAAAGCTTTCGACTATGTCATTAACATTCTTGATTCTGCATCTCGTCCATCATACAAGCACTCTCTAACTCTCTCAAACCTCATTTCTTGTCGGGTCCATGACTCATAACTGAAGCAAAGCCCACCTTTTTCCTTAGCACCATGGCGAGTCGAACAGGGTCGAATCCTTCTCCGGCCACAACTAGCTGGTCCTTCTCGTCCCCCCCTATTGCTATAGATAACACTCCTACATGTTGAAAAAAAAAAAACACATAATATTATGCATAAATTTTTCATCTTTTTTCGAATATATATATATAAGTTTTATATATATAATAAATACAAACCTGGAAAATTAGCTGCAATCTTCATGGCCTCTGTTCTTCTCTTGCTGGCAGATTTGTTCCCTATTTTCCATATGATTTCATAGGGCACCATTAGCTTTAAAACATGAATTAGAAACTCCAGAATCTTCGGGCGACACTTTGGGCCATTCATACACACCTTTATAACCGCTTTTTCCTACAGAAAAAATTAGTGAAAATTTTAGTTAATATTCGTGTTTGTGTGCGTGATTGATACGTATACGTGATTGCGATTAATTGAATTATATACCATTTTGGCTGGAGATATGGAGGCAGATGGATAAAAACTCCTACGCACTTTTTGCCCTTTTTTGCGTTCTGTGTTTTGGTGAATGTGATCTTGAAAGTTTAGAGTAAAATTGGAGTTTCTTTAAGAAAAAAGTATATACATCTATGGAAAAAGAAGTGAATGTGAATCTTGCAATGCACACCCTCCTACTTATATAGACTAATTCATGGCTAACTATTTGGTTTTTTTTTTTTTTTAATGTTTGCTTCTTGTAGAAAAACTTTATAGGAAAACTACCTTAAATTAGTTTCCTCTAAATGTTTTTCTAGCCAAAACAAAGTACTTTTAGAAAATTGACAAAGCTTGTTAAAAAAAAAAAATACGTTTTTTAGTTTCAAAAGCTCTTAGAAATAGGCATGATTGCTTAATTTAAGCTAAAAATAAAGCCACTTGTCCAGGTTAAAAAAACAGATACAGTACAAACTGACAAATTGACTTGGCAGTGTATGTGCGATTTTTTTTTTTTTTTCAAACTATCCAATTATGTATGGACACGTGTCCCTTTCGTTTTTGAGTCTCTCCTTGAGTCTTTTCATATAGCATGATTCGCTAAGCGAAATAGCTGTCAAACGACACATCAATTAGTTATTACATAAATTCATATTAGGTCTATACACCAATTAATTGATGTCATTATCATATGCGTTAAATGATATGATAAAGATAAACATATAGATAAATAAATTGGTTCCTTCTCTATCATAGCATTAAAAACTAACTCTCAATTCAATAATACGAAAAATTCACTAAGATAGGTACTGGAATCTTACTCAATCTAAGTCCTTTCAAAGTCTACTTTGAAAACGCGGTTTGAACACAGAAGAGAAGATTTATCTTAATAATTTTATTGAACTGAAAATTTTGCTAGCCGTAGCCGTAGCTTTCAGAATAGAAAAAATGTCCAGAGAAATTTCAACTTCGTAGTGCCATTGTAATCTCTTTTCAAAAACAGACAGAATTAGATGTTTCTGAGTCGGTCCACGGGCGGCGCAATAATTATTTTGGCCTAGTCCTAAACAATTTTTGAATTTTTTTTTTTCACTTTTCTCCTATTTGCACGTGTTATTTAACTTCGAAATTCTGTCACGCTGTTCTTACCAAATAATTTCATTTTTCTACTAAGCTTAGCTGGTGTGTACCAATGCCGACGATCAACCACATTTTTTATCCACCTCAACACAAAAGGCTTCAAGATCTCATGATAACCTTTTTTCCAATCCAACCGCTTTTAAATTGATAAAGGTTTTTTTAAAAGATATGGAGCCAACCGTTGATTTATTTTTTGTCAGTTTTTTAAAAAGCATAAAGTGTGACTAGATATAGAGATCAATGAAATTGTCATGAATTAGACAGACTTCCAGAGCCTCCTTGTCATGTAGGGCGTTTAAGCTGCACCGATCAGTGAATGCTACCTGGAAAATGAGGTTGCGTTTTTCTCCCTCGTTGTACCTCTGGCGTGAGAATCAGTAGTTGGTTTAGCAAAGTAGGAAGATAGTATAATTTGAATTCAAACTGTTTGGGTTTCAAGAGAGCCATAACTTTTTCACCTTAGAGCCATAACGTGAAAAAATTTCTAAAATTTTAAATCTATTGGGTACCACTAGCTACTGGAATCTTCCTCAATCTAAGTCTTTCAAAGTCTACTTTAAAAACGCGGTTTGAACATAGAAGAGAAGATTTGTCCTGATAATTTTGCTGAACTGAAAATTTTGCTAGCCGTAGCTTTCAGAATAGAAAAAATGTCCAGAGAAATTTCAACTTCGTAGTGCCATTATAATCTTTTCAAAAACAGGCAGAACGCTTATAACCATGGAAAATGACAAGAATTAGATGTTTCTGGGTCGGTCCACTGGCGGCGCAATACTTATTTTGGCCTAGTCCTAAACACCTCTTTCCAATCCAACTGCTTTTAAATTGATAAAAGGTTTTTTTTTTTTTTTAAAGTTATGGAGCCAACTGTTGATTTAATTTTTGTCAGTTTTCTGAAAAGCATAAAGTGTAACTAGACATAGAAATCAAGATTCAAGATTTACGAGACCTGAGCATAAAAAAGCGTTTTCTTATTTTTAATATTATCTAAAAAATTTTAATCACTCTAAAAATATTTTAATAATTAAAATAATACATACCAAATATCTAAAATTATAAAACGATGTATTTACTTGATAATTTCTACAATTAATCAATTATAAAATTCTCAAGTTTTCGAAATGCAGAAACTAGATTATTTATGATAATTTCAACTTTCTACTAGACAAGTTCTATTTGAAATTCATAAATTCAACTAATCTGTATCTAGATGTACGTTTTGAGTATGTTTATCCATTATCACGAAATTCATAATGTAAATATGTAATTTCAGTAATTGTAAATTGGATTATATGCAGAACAAACAGAAAACAAAAGAATAGGTTTACATAAAACAGAATTCATCTTTATAACATGACAAAATGTCACCATGAGGGGAAAAAAATTACATAGCACAAGCAGTAATTATTAGAAGAAGCTCTTAGCTACAAAATTACTCAAATATACATAGAAGGAGCTAAAAGCAAAAGTGCAAAAGGGACACGTTGTAGGATGGTGTTTCAATGCTAAGAAAATCATACGGCCTAGGCAGCATCGAACGACAGCTTCAAAGCTTCAAATAGGACGAGAGCAAGAACTAAGAGACGCCTTGAAAGGACAATCGGTCTCTTAGTGTATCAAAAATTGAAGAAGCTGCAGCATTTTGTGCAAAAGTTAATTTCAGTCGCCCAAGCAGTTCACCATCCTTCGCTTGAGAAGCAGCATCTGCAGCTTCCTTAGCCATTCCAATTCTAGCATATGCCTGTTTGTGAATTGTACAGTGTGGACAGTCAGGGATTTGCACCAACAATGCCTATTTTGCTTCTGAAAGAAAGTACTATCAAAAACTTGGGTATAGATACAAAAATCAATTCTACCTCGGCTTTCTCTCTGGGATCAGCCAGTTTTGGTATATATTTAAGGGCTTCACTTTTCTCATCTGCATCAACACACGCCTCCACAAATGGCCGGTAACCTACAGATGACAGTGCTTGAAGTGAAAATGTAAAAGGGAAAAAGATCTAACCTCATCAATTCGGCATTCAATAATGACCATCAAAAGTTTATCTGAGATGTGCCAATGGAATGGCTCGTTTCTCAGCAAGAAAAAGGTTAAAGTAGAAAATACCATGGTGTCTAGGTTGGTCTTCACCTCTTTCCATATAGTCCTTTTTTTTTTTTTTGAGTAGAAAACCAACTGATGAACATAATAGCTTTAAGAAAGGTTTAAAAGAAGATGAAGAACTAATCTCTTGACCATCCCCAGCAAATTTGTAACCCATGATGAAAGGGACACAGTTATTCATTCATCGCGTCCAATATTTATTTAGAGAGCGCACAAACAGATACAATAAAACCTTGATAAACGAATGATCGATAAATTAATTATCTCGCTTAAATAATAAAATTCTTCCCAACTTGGGCAAGTGTACTAAATTAATAGCCTCATTAAATGCATAAGATAATAATCTTTTTTTTATAGATAATTTAAGGCCAACTTCCCAACTTGGGCAAGTGAACAATTAAACTTCCAGGATATTAAACTTTGAAGTCAATGCATGTACATTAATGTTTTCTCTTTAATATATGTATGTGTGTGCGCCTTTTTGTGTGCTACCGATTAAATTTTGAATTTCACACATTCAATGTTTTTTTTTTATTATGTATTATGGTAAAATATAATACAAGTTAAAAAAAAATATTAAATACTATCGATAAATTAATAACTCCTCTAAAATAATATTTTTTCTCGGTCCCAACATTATTATTTTATAGAAGTTTTACTGTATGAGAAGACTAAAGTACCATATGAAGACATATTGCAGGTTATACTTTCTAACTCGATCAATTAAAAGGGCTTACCTATTGGTGGCCTTTTCTCTTTTGAAAATTTTTCCAGGGCATCCCAGTCCCGAATTGTTGCTAAAGCGAAAACTTTAAGCCAATACCATCGCTTCTCCGAAACCTGACCATGTCAAAAACATTGACAAAAATGATTGTGATGAAAATAAATTGCACAAGAAAACCTTTAGCAGATAGAAGTAAAGAATGCTGAATTATCATTTCCTGCATATACTTGTTAATCCATACTATTTAGTAGTAGTAAAATGTGGAAACAAACCTTAAATTCAGTTTTAACTTTCATCGCAGCCCGGTGATTTCCCAGTACAATACATGTACGAATAGTGTCACTGATACTAGAGTCCACAAAAATGGCCTGCTTAGTACTGACCTCCAAGTCATGCTGAATTCTGCATTTGATTGCAAATCATCGATGAAGAGTTTAATCAGAATTGTGCAAGTCTACGTCATTAAACATAGCTCATATTTCAAAGTATTAAATAACAGAAGGGGAGAGGGCAGAAGAGAACAGAGTGAGAAGAGATGCTTCGTAAATAAATATTTTCGTAGTCTGATTCCCCAATAAACAAAACTGAAATGTTTACTTTTTATGTCCCTATATGGACTAAACAAGTTGCAAATGTAGCAGAAAAGAGACAATCTCAACAATTTAACTGATCCTGCTGGAATCCTGAAACGATCAAGTCATCCTGCCATTAATTGATAGTTGATACGAAGTTAGAAATGTATGGTTCACTCGAGTAGACAGAATTTGATTCCATTACTGGTAAAATAATTAAGAATTTTGGAAATATTTATTGAAAAACAGTGCACGTCATAAGATTTCGGTAAGGGCTACACAGAAGGCATTGGTTCAAAAGCAGTTAAATGAGAATTCATCTATTGGGAACAAACATGGTCATACAGTATTAAAAAGCAGAGATGTGCAAATCACAAGTACAAATAACATGATGGTAGTCATATAGAAGTTACTCAGAGTCAAATGAACCTCGTGTAAAAAAAGAGAACCATTAATAGAAATATCACTTGCTAATAAATACAATGTACAATTGTCACCTTAACAATTTTGCATGCTCCTCAGCTGCCTTTGACTCAAATATATGTTCCTTCGTTTCGGAAAAGAGATGCTGTGCCTTTTCAATGAGTTTTATGCGTGGACCGTGAAGTGGGGATCCTTTGCTAGCCATTGGATTCTTTGCTAGTTCCCAGGACTCTTTCCATAATAGAAAAGCAACATCCTATAAAATATAAACCTTAAACCATAAGAATAATATTATACAAGATCAACAAGCTCTAATGCTGAATCTCACAAAGGCATTTGACATCAGCAGAATTGTCCTATTGTAATATAATAAAACAGATACCTTAGATTTCTATTAGAATCCTACCAATAAACTATACAAGATGTCACCATTTAATGGAGAAAGAACATGTGAATACTAAAAAAAATACCCACAGCTCTGTGGAGAACACAAGAATGAAAAGGAAAATAAGTCTTCCTTTGTCCAAGATTCCAATTTGTCATAAATAAGCAATTGGTAGATGACCAGGCACTTCTATTAATTCAGGGATATAAATTCAGAATTATTAGTCTTATCCCATTATACATTAGTTAATATTTGATTTGAGAAAGGGAAGACCCCATGAAACAAGTGAAGATTGAGCCTACCTGAAGTTGACCAGTGGATAGGAAAAAGTCCTTCAAGAATTCATGTTTATAGCATCTGGTAAAAGAAAGATTAGAAACAAATTACATTAGAAAAGATCTTCAACAGAAGAAGCCTGTAATCTACAGTATTTTGATAGGATCGGTTTTGCCTACTGTGCATAAGTTATGAATAAATCGCGGGCCAACGGTCTGGCATGTATAGTTCCGAAAAACTCCAACGAAGGTCTCTACATTAATAAACATCATTATGAAAACACAATAAAAGATTTTCAGAGACAGTAGATTGTACAGGTCACGATAAAAAGCTATTCAATCTATAATTTTGCGCACCTTCTGCCAGATATGAAACACGACAAGATAGACAAGATCAGTATCACCACTTTCTATAGCCTTCACGAGTGCAGTATCTTCTTCTCCAATGCTTAGAAAGAGAGGGATCTGATGTATGAACAAACTTATTATGCAATAAGATTCTCAAAAGACGGCCACTAGCTTTTTATATGACTTTAGTGCCACTAGTTGAGAACTACAAAAGTTAATCAGGTAATATGCTGACATAAAACATAAATGAAGAACAAATAACTCTTTTTAAATAGAAAATGGCTAGAACAAACAGATAGGAGGACAAGAGAAAACCAAGACGACCTGTTTTGAGGAGTGTGGCTCATGTTCAACTAGCATGGCAGCTAACTTCCTGCGGCCATTCTTATCAGCATGAGCAGCAACTGCAGCATAAGATATGCCTTTACATATCTTCAGCTGCAATTCCAGAATCATTATATCACGCATGAGGTCTCATGCAAAAAAAAAAAAAGAAATAGAGAATTAAATAGGAGAATCTCTTGCATGATAGGTTACCTTATCAAGTAAAATTTCTAGGAGACTGGCATCAGGAATCCCCAAGGATGCTGTTATCTTAGTACAAGCCCAGTGCATTATCACAACTTCCTACTCAAAACAACAAAAACAGAATGATCTTAGTGTATGCAACGATGATGCAGAATTACACCATTACCAAACAATAGGCGCTTCATCCTTTTTTTATATATTTAATCATACAGACATAGCAGGAGGAACTGCATCTGACTATTTAGCAAGAATTCCTTTTGATATCTTGTTGCCAGAAGCATAGACATCTCTCTCATTACTTTTTTGTTTACTGAAGTGGGGGAGGGCTTCTGTCCCTCCAGGAGGAGGAAGTTGGGTTATAAGCATCTCAAAAATAGTGCCCACTAAGAGTTAAAAAAAGGTTCTTAAATTACAGTTATCTTACACTGAGCTGCTCACATGGGGGAAAGTTTGTACTGAAAACTGGATAAAAGCAATATAATTATTTATTTGTGTTCATAGTCATCTATTTGATAATGTCAAAGCAGATTAACTTTAAATTAACACCTTCAAAAAAATAAACATTCAGAATATATATTCTGCAAATTAAAGAAAAGTTGTTTTATCAACTTAAAAGCATTACAAGATTTTTACAGATACTGTACTTCCAAGCTGTGAAGGAACAGAGACTTCAAATTTGGGAATATTGATATTGATAACAAGCATAATTAGACGTGTTTAAATAAAAAAATAAAAGGAAAACAATAACCAGCAACATTAATGCTCAAAATATCCCCTACTATGACAGAAATTGTTCATACAGCCGAACAACACAGGAAGTGAGGAAGAGACAAAGTGTAGAATCTGTTCGTGTAATAAATTATTCTAGTTGAACCCTACTCAATTCATATTCTCATTTCCAATTTTCTTTGCACAGAGATGCATGCAATGACACATCAAATTTCATGTAAAATAATTTTCTCTAAAAATTATATTTCTATGATGCTGAAAAATTGCAGAAAAGAGAACTAGATAAACCAAAATTTCCCTTTTACAATTAGAATAGCATCAAGTCATTTTCTCAACGAGCTCTTCTATTAACTGATTTTACCTTTATTTTTATAATGAAATTATTTTACCTTGTTAATTTCCCAAACAATCTTAAGAAACAAAAAAGCAACCAACAGGAGTTAAATATCATTTAGCATCAATTATTATGAATATCTTAACATGGTAAAAGCAACTGTTAACGGAAAGCACTCTCATAACAAGCATCTAGCTCAATTTCACACTGCATAGAACAGTTCCAAAAATATTCATGCTCTAATTTCAAATGAAACGGACTAGTTAGAATTGCAGTAGACCTTAACAGCTCATCTAGATTCACTTAAGCAAATATAAGAATCCATCATAGATAACAGAATAGGTATGGTGGTACTCGAAAATAACATATCACACTTAGTAAAAACAACACGAAACAAAGGTCAACCACTGTTAGGCAACCAAAGGCTCTACCAAAAGAGAAGGTACGGAAGAGAAAAGATCAAATGTATTATAAAGTTTGAATAGGAAATAAAGTTTTGAAAAACTTACTTGATTCATTCCAAGGTATTCTGATATCCGAAGAGATAGTAGGTAATTATGAGCATTAATCAGACGATTAATCAGCACGGATGGCGTAAGCAACTGCAAGGAGACTATTATTAGTTGCTTTCATTAAAGAAGCATGACATGGAATTGCAACTTCAGACATAAAGTAGTGAGCACTAAGACCTTGTACTGCTGAATGCTTAGAGGGATGCCAATCTCGTGGTGGCGTACAGCATTTAGTACCCGTAATTTTTTGCACATTTCTTGAATGCGGTCACGTTGAAATTGGCTGCCAAAGCGAACTGGATATCATTACCAAGACAAAAATCAGAAATCGATGTTCTTTCTGAGCATGAACAAATGTACAATAGTAACTTTAAGCAAGGAGCAATTCTGCACCAAGCAAAGTTCATGCAAGAATCAGAAAAGTTCATTTCAGGCAGCAACTCTACACCAATCAAAAGTTCCATGACATAACGAGGCACTAATGTAGAGAATGCCTTTATTCATATTAATTAGAAAGTATTTAATTCATTTCAAACTCAAAAGACAACGAAGAAGACCAAAACCAAAAGAGAATTGTAGGTACCAGGCAACATCATAAGCAGTGGAAAAGTCTAAATCTTACAACTTAGGTATAAATCTGAGATGTATTCGTTGAGCATACAGTATTTATCTTTTTTTGAGATTAGAACTAAAAACAGTGCAGTGTATGAGAAAACACTTTCACTGCACATTAACGGCCATTCTAGCAATGTGTTGATACAATTTCCACTCAATGAACAAAAGTATAATCAGTGAACCTCAAAGAAAAATGCTCCCACAGTGATTGTGGAAACTTGAAATACTGTTCATCTTTTCTTCCACCCCCCCCCCCCCNGGTTCAAACTTACATACATAATGCTTCATGGTACGAATAGGCAGTTATATCTATACTTTTGATTTTGGCCACCCCTTCCCATATCTGACCATTTCACAACCCCCAACTCCTTCTCCTTCTTTCCCTATTTGTAAGCTGAGATGCCATAACCTGGAAAGCACTGAAGCTGCAGGGAAGACTAGCCCTTCCTAAAGAATTATGAAATTCTACCTGCTAATCTAAAACGCAAATAATGAAAATAGTACAATGAAATGAAGTGCAATATACATTCTGTATCTAGCAGCTCAGAAAGAAACTACAAAAACTTCATCCAAAGCACAGGAACAGAGTTCCATTTTCATTGAATATACTAACTTTTAAACACCAGTAAGACAATGGCAACAAACCAACCTGCAAAAGGCTTGTCCATAGCTTGCAGCTCTCAGTAGTGTCCGCTGCTGTGGAATATCAAATTCATAACCAGCAGCATCAATACAAGCCTCAACAGCCTCCGGTAGGGAAGAGCGAATCAATCTCAAATTTTCATCTGCCTAGTAGACAATAGATTTTCTCAATAACGACAAAGGAAAAAATTACACCTCTTAAGGAAAGTTCACAATCCAAATTTAATATGATTATTGTAATTCCTTTTCCCTACTCAAAATGGGTTGAATATTCTAATGCAGTCCATTATTTAGAAAATTCAAAGGAAGTAACAGGGAGGTTTATCCTTATTGTTCCATGAGTCCAGTCAAATGTAGCTACTAGAAATGTTGAAGGCAGCGCTTTCAAAGGAAAATGATAAAATGATAACATGATATAAAAGGTCAGAGAGGAAGAAGCCCATCATCTGAGATCAAATATCTTTCTAAGTCATTTTTCCCTCCTTACATAATGAAAATCTCATATTAAATGCCCGATGCTGGTTTGTTGATGGTAGGAAATACCACCATCAGTGGCTGGATGAAAAAACAAAATTCCCAAATAAATGGCAATGGAGTAGCAAAGGAGCAGCTAGTGATCCTAGTGAAGTAAAACCTTTCTAAGTGCACAATGTTGGTAACAAAGGTTACATCAAAACATCCATGATACGTTAGCGGCCCACCAACAATTGGAATAGTATATGTATGAAAGGCAAACGTAGAAAGTAAGTGTACTCTCAGAGTCTATTACCAAATACTTAAATACGTACATCCTAAAGGGAAATACAAGGACGAGGGTCACTTCATCAGAATATAACTCTGAATGATGCATTAAGATAATAGAGGCAGACTACCTTGGCACTCCGCCTGTCAAAATGATCCAGGGCATCATATAATAAAGCAGCAGGAAGGGTGCTCCCAATCTGAAAGATAGATACTGTAGAATCTGGGACTCGATGCAGAAATTCCATGCTTGTGTTAGAAAGTATCCTTACTCCATCGCACTCAGGGATAAGAATGATGGGCTCATCATATATGTAGCGCACAGGATCACCGTAAGGACCTACCATCAATAGCATATCATCCCAGTATAATAAGACACTGTCCATTCCACACCAAGCCAGCTGGTCAGGAGGAAGAGCTGACTATACACGTAAAGATAATGGAGCACATCAGAAAGACTGAAATATTACTTGTCAGCTTCATGGTCTAAATTGAGAATTTGAAGAGTATACAACAATATATAGTTAGACGTTAGATGCTGTACATAGTTATTAGCTTGCTTATTTGCTTTATACTCCCATCATCCCTCCCTGAAAACAAGTGGAGCGTGTTCATCAAACAAAGACCAAAACCTTTACCATTTCATAACCCCAGAGGCAGTCAATTTTTTTTCATTTTGAAGTACAATATTTCAGTTGATAGGCTGATTAACTAGAAATAATATGATGTCATTTATGTCATTAATAAGTACTCAGCAAGACAACATTTATGCATCCTATCAATATTTTGTCCATATATGTAATTTATAAGGAAGCTTATTTCTATGGTCAGCTTATAATAAAGATACTCTATAAGATTAAAAATAAAAAAGGAAAATTCTAAAACTAGGCAAATTTTTAGCATGTGCCTTCTGATTTATTAGAAGTACTACTGACGAGATGTTCATGGCAAACTTAGAAGTCAGAACGCTGCAAGAAGACTAGCAACCGATTATTTTCATTTCCTACTATTCACCCGGAAATCCGATGACTGTTAATCTCCAAATTCTAAAGTGTAAAAGCATTGCAGAATCACCTCATCCATTTTGTGCACTTCGATCACAAAAGGAGATGGTTGGCATTACAATGAAAAATCAAATAGAAGGTAAACCATTCTCAACCAGCTTATCAAGTATAAACCATTACTACTGTGGCACCTTTTTTTTTTTTTTTCCATATTATGCATTTAAACAATAAAGACACAATCTTTCCATACAAATCAACCACTGCAATGGAGAAGCACTTCATTTGTCCTTATAATTATACAACTTTGACAGCATAACCATAAACGGACTACTAGTAATTACACACTAAACCAAAACTCCCAAATTGAGTTGAAATTCAAAAACTTTTGATGAAACTAACTGTACCTCACAAGTGTACTCAAAGATAATGTTTGAAAAATCCATGGACACAACCAGAAGCCTCCCATCATGCGTGAACGATGCCAGAAGCTTCCCCGTTCTCGAAACCACCATCTTCTGCAAAGGTCCAATACCGACACCCAGCTGCTGCACCCCATCCTCTTCCACCAACAAGACATGATCCCCGACCCCCAACAAAACCTCCACATTCCCTGACATCGTGTACTGCGGCTCGATCACAGCTATACAATGCGGTAATTCCTCCAAATTACAATCTGCCAATTGAACCGCCCTGGGGTTCTTCAAATCGGGCACCGCAAAAATCCCAAACGCCTCGTTGATACAAACGACACCATTTCCCCAGAACACGCACTCCACAACGCTACTTTCGAAACATTCTTTACCCAAAGAAAAAGTGTTGATTAACTCAGCGTCGATATTGTAAAAATAAACAGTGCCGTCTTGGGTTATGCAGACTAGAATTTGATCATCGGACCATGACATACCGATGAGGCGACCACCGGGATTCTTCCAGACGGTTTCGGAGATCAATCGGCCGGAGGAGGTGAAGATGCGGAGCTTGCGAAGGGCGGACTCAGCGAAGAGCTGGACGATCTTGGCGTCGTCACGGATAGCGGCGATGGGACCGCCGAACGGTGCACAGGCGACCTTGTTCCTTGTGAGGTCCACGTGCTTCCACTGCATCTGGTACAGCTCCGGCTTCCGGTAATAGCGGTTGTAGAGCAGCTGCCACTCTGCCGCCACTGAGACTCCGGCCATTGTTGGTGAAGCTTAAAGCTATCAACTTTTGTACAAACTTATTATTTCTGTTCTCAATTTGGGTTCACTGGATCTGCAGAATTGATGGAGAAAAGAAGATTGATTGATTGCAAAAGTTTCACAGAGAGAGAGAGAGAGAGATGCCATTCATAAATATGCGACTTTCTAATGGAGGAGATGGCGTTTCTCGAGATGGGCCTGCACTGTATTGGGCTATGTCCGGCCCAATATTGACCCAAGACGTTTCTGGATCATGTCTAGGCCTTGTGAAATCCTAAGTCCGACACTAAGGGGGTGTTTGTTATTTATTTGAGAATCAATTCTCATTTTCAAGCACATATTTTTCAATAAAATAATATTTTTCATTACATTAATAATTTTTTCTTCTTTTTCAACCACACATTTCCCATCATATCACTATTCAAAAATCAATTTTTCCCCCAAAAATACCCACCAAACAAGCTCTAAGTATGTATCAAATCAATTTTCAAACATTAAGTTTTAAAATACAAAACTCAGGTTTTAATTCAATATTTTAATTTTAAGTAATAATATTGACCCCACCCCACCCCTCCCCACCCCACCTCACCTCACCTCACCAAACAACGGCCCCCCACACCTATCCTTACAGTCGTCGGCATCCCACCCCACCTCACCAAACAACCGTCCCCCACACCCACCACCCCCACCCCCACCCTTATTCTTGTTCATTTGTCTGTTGTCTCCATCCCTTCTTACAATCGTCGGTATCTACCCACTATCGACATCCACTCAATCGCAACTTCTTAAGCGGTGAACTGATCGTCACTCAGCACTGAATGAACATCGCCGACTCAAATAGTAGAGATAGAGGGAGAAAGATGGAGACCTTGGAGAACATCGACTAAGCATCGCTGGTGACTGATATTTTCTTCAACGACGACTTGACAATGCTAGTATAATTTAAAACTAATTTTTTTTAAATTGAATTGAAAATAGCATCTAGGGAAATTTACAAAGTACTCACTGAAACAAACAACTTTAATATTCCTCACCGAACAAACAACTTTTCAATTTTTGCAGACTTTACCATAACCTTCATTTTGTGTTAGTAAAGGTCCATAACATTTCATAAATATGCAACTAGAGTCCAAATGGATGAAAAAATCCATTTAACCGTTAGTTGACTAAGAAAGTCAAATTTATATTTATTTTGACCAAATTAAAAAGAGCAAAATGGTACTTTTGTTATTTCCCATATTAAATAAGTTTTAAAAACTAAGTTAAAAAATCCAAAATATAAATATATAAACCCACCCCACCCCACCCCACCCCAACACCCCAAATGAAAATAGTATAACAACCCTTCTTCTCCAACGTAACCTTACCGGAAACCACCACCACTGTAGAGACCTAAAAAAAAAATCTTGTGTTTCATTTTAAAAGAAATTTTCTTGTAAAACTCAAAAATTATTTGAATTATATTATTAAGTCGCTACGACCTTTCCTAAGAATTCAAAATAAAGTTTTCGTCACGATAGTAAAATTTTGCGCACTTGTTTTTAAAATTTTTGTAAGGTATCAAATTTCTCTTAAAGCAATAAAAAAAAATAAAAATTATGTTGATGCCACACGTTATATTAATTTTTGCATACATGTTTAACACTTAAATTTTAAAAATTAGATAAATCGGATATGGTGTACAAAACGACCCCTAATTCACTCCCATCATAATTATATTTTTTTTCTCTCTCACTCACAATTTTTCCTCCACAAATGCATTTCTATCTAATTTTTTTTATTTCTTAAGTTGACTATTCATTTTTCTCCACTAAGCATACCATTTAAATCATTTACTAAATGTCGTAACCTCCAAATCACTTCATGCCATTATGGTAATTATAAACAAAACTTCCATTCATATGAAAGGGTACCTACATGTTTTTCTTTAACCCATAACCCACCATTTAAACACCTAATTAATATTCCACTACCATTGTTTTAAATTCCATTTTGATTACTAGCAATTACCATCATCATTTTTGTATTTGAAAAATAATAATCTCCTATAACCACTAAGGCCACATTTCCTTTCCCAAACTATTTTACCCACACATAAATTTTTCCGCTTTTCTTCCCATAGAGTAAGACTCTTTGAATCTAAATTTTTTTTTTTAAAGAAGTGAAGAGAACGCTGTATTTTATTGAGCGCAAGAGGATATTCAAACTCCAAGAATTTAAGGTAGGAATGTTTAAGACACTTTTGTATGTAAAGTAAAATTATTTGTTTTTGATTTGCATTAACGTATTATTGTGTTACTCATGAGAGAATGGAAGCACTCTATGGGTGGTTCAAATAAGAGATGAAGAGATGAATTTTGATTCATGAAAATGAGTTGTACAACCTAAGAGTATGCAGACTGCTTGATCACCGATTTGCTTTGAAATTGACGGTGATATAAATAATCAAAGTTTGCAATTCTAGAAAACATATATATTTTTTTTAATCTATTTACTTAAGTGTTTCCTATTGAGTATTACTTGTGATACTCACTCATACAAAATTTACACATTAATTGAAGGCGTGGCAAGGATTTGGTATGGTGACAGTGCTTGGCGATTTGAAATGCTTTGAACTTTTAGTAAAATTTCCATTCGCGTAAATCTCTTATGAATCCTTAGACGATACTTTTAAAATGTTTAATTTTCTATTTTCGCCTAATTTTACATATATTGCATGTCAACTATAATTTAGAAATGTTGGAATGACTACGCATGTACGTTAATTATTGCTGGATTGAATTTCAGTTTCTGTCCGTCTATTTGAAAGTAGTAAAAATTGGGCTACGGTACAAGTTTTAGAGTAAAATCAGTGGGGTTTCAAAGGTCTATGAGGCTTCTAATTGTAATCTTTGGAATTATCCTAAAATATTATCTAAAAAAAGTTATGTTCATTTTGGTAGACTATGTCGAGTCAGTTCCGAATTTTCTGTCCAGTATAGTCGAACAGTATTTTCATGTTTCAAACATCATTATCGAGACCCCAATTTTTTATATGATGTACGTATATGAATCTTATAATCCCTGTTAAAATTTCATAATTTTTCGTCAACATTTCCTAAGTTAGCCATATTTTTTTCTTTCCGCTGTTTTATAATGGTATTTGCTAAAATTTCCCCAATGTTTTTCAAAAAATCAAATGACACCATAATTTTCTAAAGTCTATATGGAAATTTATCTCCCATTATAATTTTTATATGTTTCAAACTCCAAAAATTTCTCAAGTCTATATGAACATATATCTCCCATTATAATTTTTATATGCTTCAAACTCCAAAATTTTTCGTATTTACAATTTATTTTGGTTAGCATTAAAGAGGTCAAACAAAGAAGAAGATTTTTTTTAACGCTTTGAGTTCCGAGAATTTGGGGCGTTACTACCATCGCCACCTTTGACCAACACCACCACCAAAACTACCACTTATTCCAAGAAAAATAACCTCCCACGCCCACCACTATTAATCTGAAACCAAAAATGAAATTCATCTCTACCAACACATCGCTGCACTAATTTTTCGTTTGGAACGTCTACAGCAGCAGATAACCATCGCCACCAACCATCAATTAATGCAGAAGGAAGGTAGACGTACAATCAATGCGGTTCGTACACATAACATATACTCCAAGTTTCAAGAATCCAGATTTTGGGATTTTCTCGTCGATGTTGAAAAGAGGTCAAACAAAGAAGAAGATTTTTTTTTAACGCTTTGAGTTCCGAGAATTTGGGGCGTTACTACCATCGCCACCTTTGACCAACACCACCACCAAAACTACCACTTATTCCAAGAAAAATAACCTCCTACGCCCCCCACTATCAATCTGAAACCAAAAATGAAATTCATCTCTACCAACACATCGCTGCACTAATTTTTCATTTGGAACGTCTACAGCAGCAGATAACCATCGCCACCAACCATCAATTAATGCAGAAGGAAGGTAGACGTACAATCAATGCGGTTCGTACACATAACATATACTCCAAGTTTCAAGAATCCAGATCCAAAAATGACCACCTGGACCAACACTGTCTCCATTACCTCTCTATACGAGTCAAACTCGGTTCTTGAACTCTACAGAAGCTCGACTCATACTGCCACAAAGGTCATATTGAATTGTACCACAACTGGTACTATATTTGACGATTAAGATTTAGGTTTAGAAGAAAATTTGATCCCTATTTCAAAACATACTTCTCAACTCAGGTTGAGTGTTTTGGGATTTTCTCGTCGATGTTGGCAGGTGGTGGAGCAGGGTGTGTGAGTGGGGAGTCGTGCAGTGCGGAGGTGCCAATGTTGTGTGGAGGGTGGTGGCAGTGACAATGCCAACCACGGTGTGGTGGGCTAGGGAAGTAGAAGGTGGATAGGTGATGGTGGTTTATATTTTGAAATATTATAATTGTATTTTATTTTTATTTTGTTTTAATTAATTATTATAAGGGATAAATTGGAATAAATAGCAAAGTACCATTTTGCCCTTTTCAATTTGGTCAAAATTAACTAAATTTTGACTTGTTTGGTCAACTAACAGTTACATTCATTTGGACTCCAATTCCATATTTATGAAAAGTTACGGACTTTCGCTGGCAAAAAATGAAGGTTGGGGTAAAGTCTACAAAAATTGAAAAGGTTAGGAATCGCTGCTGCAATTTTCCCTTGAATTTATGACCAATTCAAATAATTGAGGTTGGAGAAATCAATGGCATGTGACCAAATCTCTTGAATTTGTGACCCATTTATACACTTTGACATATGACCTGTTACATGTGACCTATGACCCTATGGACATTGATAAATTATCTGTGATATTGATCCAATAGCCTGTGACCAATTCTCTTATATCTGTGACTTTTAGAAATTAACTTGTTACCTATGCAAAATGACTTGTGACCCGCTAACATTAATATGTAACCTATATAATATAACATTGGAATTGTAAATGATGACCTATGACTTGAACTGTAACCTATGACCTGTGAACTATAACTTGTCACATGTGAACATAAATCAGTGATATGTGACCAATTCTATTTCATTTGTGACTTATTGACATTGATCCGTGACTTATACAATATGACATGACCAATGGAGTGTGACTTGTGACTAGTTCTGTTTGATTTGTGACCTATTCACATTTATATGTGACCTATACAAAATGATATGTGACCTGGTAATGTAACTTATCATCACGGTGGATTTTGACATGTGACCTGCAAACATGATTAGTGGCCATGCTACTACCCTATTTGCAAAACCACCAACAAAACCATTTAATAGGCTGCCCCATTCAAGAATGAAAAAAACCACTTGTGCAGTAATTAGAGGACTGTAAATTTTACAACCTTCTTTAATTAGTGTGGGCCCACAATTAGAGAGGGCAGCCCTCTAATCACTGTAAATATAGTGCATTTCTTTAAAAATAATAGCACCGCCGCCACAACATCAAATCGTAAATCATCAACTTCTTCACCAAACCACAACAACCAACAATTTTCATTATTTCCCCTCAACAAAACCCAAAATCGAAATTGAAAAGTCACTTTCTGCATAAGAATTATCCTTCACCTTCAGAACCCATAACGTTCGAACACCACCCATGTCGTCCATCACCTTAGCTGCACCCATCAATACCTTTGGTCCCTTCCAATTTAGCCCTAATCACATAAACTTCGTCTATGTTGTCTTCTCCAACAAGAACATTATTTTCCATGGATATACTTGATGTTTTATAATTTTTCGAACTCCATGTATCCAGAATAAAGCTAATCGAAAAAATGGGAAAGTGAGATCTTAGAAATTGATTTTTTTGCTTCTTGCTTCCGGAGATCGTAGAGGAGAAATGCTAGAAAGAGGGATTATAGATACAAAATGATAGAGAGAGAAAGTGAGAGGTATATTAATAAAGAGAAGGGAGAGAGATGATAGGTTAGAAAGAGAGACAAAATTGAGATTCAATTTGGCTCTGGGTGGGTTAGAGGGTGGGGGTGTAGTTTAATTTTATAATATATTATTATTAATATTAAAATATGGAATTATCACCTGATTTTCGAATAAACAAACCTTCAACCTATTTCTTAAATTGTAATCTTTAAACAACTGTGCTAGTGTAATTTCCACTTAGGGTAGGGTATATTGGCCCAGACTATGAGTTTTGCATTATTGATTTATATATTTTAATGTTAGAAAAATATTATATAAATGTTTTATTGTTTTATAAAGAGTTGATGGGTTGTTTCTTTGATTGGTGACTTGGATTTATATTTTACATTTGTAAATCAGTAATATTTCATTATTCTCGAACATACAAGATAAGTCAAACAGCTTAACATGAATTATTCGGGTTGCCCCATGGGCTCTCACATTGGGCGTAATCGTTCTTAGACTAGCCTTTCTCTCATATGGACATCAAGCTTGACATAAGCTAACATATAGTATTTTAATTAAAATACAAAGATAATATTTGTTTGTAATTCTAATTTTTGTGCACATTCAGTTTGTGCCACACAGAACTCATGACAATTTTGTCGTATCACATGAGTGGGGGGAGTTCGCTAGATTAATGATACAATTTGTTGTAAGTGCAATTCTATCATCTAGATTTGATTTATCGTAACGAAAATAATCTTGAATTAGTTTTGATTTCAAGTTTATTAAGGGACATGTTACCAATTAACTTGAAATAAATGCTATGATGGGTTATTATAGCTTGCAAGGAATTAATTAAGAAGTTGGATGTGAAATCTAATTATGAATTTTTTGACAAAGTCACAAAAGGGGAAAAAAATGATTTATGGAGGTTGAACTCTAAAATCTTACTCAAACCAAAGATTTTGCAATTAAATCACTCATTTAAAGAGTCTTGCATAACCTTTGAGATGAAGGTCTTGCATTGTGTATCATGGTACAGTTGTAACCCGAAAAACAGTCTCGAAATATAAGTGTTAATCTGTATACTTATTTCTTGACCGCAAATCGACCTAATATCCCTACAATAAAATAATCTTAGAAAATCGTATTTCTTTTCTCGTTTTTGGTAAGATTGAGATCAACTATATATATATATATATATATATATATATATAGAATGTAGGATCCAACTTATCATCATGATACTATAGACTCAAGTTCATTATTCAAAAATGGAGGGACCATTTATATAGCTTTTTTGCAATCACCATAAGATTTCTCATTACTAAAAGTCGCATAAGATGATAGATATAATGTCATGTTCCCTCTGTCTTCTACTCCATTCTCAAACTCTCTCCTTATTGTGCATTCTGATCTGTGTTTCTCAGCAAAGCTTGCATAAATGGGACCTCACAAGAAGCACAACACATGGTTCTTGTAATGTGAAACAATTTTATCGTCCCAAAATGATACCACTTGTTTCTACATCAAAAGAAAGCATCCATTTTCGATTAAAGTTTCAATAAATTCATTACAAAATTTCTTTTTCTCTCCATTACATTTTGACCATCTTTCCACTCTGAAATTCTACTTTCTATCCACTCAAATCAAAAGCCTGTAAAAAGGACATCACCTTGTTGAAATCATAACCATATCCCACATGTCTTAAACTTCTTGTCTTGAATAATTAATGAAATATACTCACCATGGATAAACTACATAATTCCAATGATCCTACTTTAGCTAACCTTTTTGTAGTTCTAATATATACAGGATACTCTATCTTGATATAAATAATTTGAAGAAAATTTCGATTTTAGTACTTTGTGCATTTTCATACTATCTTTACCAGTATTCTAAAAAGCTCACTTTTAGGCTCAAAACTCGGGCAAAACACGTCGCTTCAAGCTTAAACGTTTTTTTCCAATTCCTAAACGTCTAATTTTAGGTAAATATTGTATAATTGACTAATGGTAAGAATTATTAAGTAAATATAATACTTTATAATTTTAGATGTTTGATATGTATAATTATTAAATGATTTTTAAAATTATTAAAATTTTAAAATAATATGAAAAATAAGAAAACGTTTATTTTACGCCTAACTCTCGTCTAGACTCGCTTAAACTCGTAAAGTTTGAAACTTTGCCTCTACATCTAGCCATGCTTTATTTCGAGCGTTTGAAAGGGTTTCTAATATCTATTATTGTTAATGTTTTTATTTCCAAATCCAAACTCAAAACCTTTCATTATTTAAGAAATAGCAAAAAACAACTTTTGCAGTTGCTTCTCTCTATCTACATTACTCTTATATTCGTATCATACCAGAGATTGAAAAATGCTATCCTCATGGAAGCTTATGCCCTTTGCCATTCCAGCAGGCCTTGCATTTCTTAATCTTCTATCATCAGTCTGTTCGTCTCAAGAACGTGCAGAAATTGATAACAGACACACGAGCAATGAACACAAGATTCATAAGGTAATTTTTTTGTTTAACAACTGTCAAAATTCCTGATGAATCTAAGCCCTTGTTTGGGCTCCATTTAAATGGAAGTTTGGGGTAAAGTGAGTTTTGGAATAGTAGTTTTTGAAGGAATGTGTGGTTAAAAAATAAGAAAAAGTTTTTAATTTACGTGTAATATTATTTTATGAAAGAATGTGCGATTGAAAATGAGTTTTTTTGAAGAAAAAAATAGGGGCCAAACATAGACTAAGTATTGTATGTCTTCAGTTGCAGATAAATCCTCAACTATTGTTTGAGATTAAACTCCATGGATTCCTCCTTTGGGCTTCGATTGGTTTTCTAATGCCGGTTGGTATACTTGTAATGAGGAAGTCGAACGGAGAAGAATCAATAAGAAGACAAAGGATCATATTCTACATTCATGTTGTTACACAGGTAAGTCTAAATATGTTTTTTACCTTTTGATTCATGAAGTCATAAGTGGTTTTGCACTGGTTCAGCCTCAACGCGAGAGCTACGTGCCACTAATTTTTTTTTAATTAAGGCGATTCACGATCTATGGTTTAAGCGCCTATCTGGCATGAATTTTCATAATTGATTATTTGACCATTTGCAAGGAAGCTGGGTCCCACCGGTGAGTGAAATGGTAAAAAATGAAGGCTAAAACGGTCAGATTATTGCTTTTTTTGGTAGTTTAACGGCTGGAATTCTGTTTAAAATCAGTGCCAGACATGTTCTAAATTTACAGTATAATTAAGCTCTACACACTCCAACCATCCTTCTAGTGTCATAGAAAAGTTATCATTAGAACTTGGAACTTTGTTAATTAATTAGATGGAGATGACCCCAGTTTCAACATTTAATGACGCAAATTAGAAAATTTATCCTGGATTCTACTAATGATTATCATTGCTTGGAGAAAAAGTAATAGCATTATGCTTAATTTTAACTTCTACTTATTTTCTATTACTATGGTCCCAATATGAACTATAATTTGTTTTGCAGATTATAGCAATCCTTCTTGCAACTGTAGGAGCAGTACTGTCAATAAAATATTTGGACAATTCTTTCAATAATCTTCACCAGAGGGTAGGCCTAACCCTATATGGTGGCATATGGTTGCAAGCCTTGATTGGCATCTTAAGGCCACATAGGTAAAGGATCTGTCTTTATTTTGAAAATGCAAAAACTTCGGATCTGTTTGGGTTTGCGTTCGTTTCTACTTTTCATAAAAGAACTTTATGAGAAAGTTACAATGAACTAGTTTCCTTTAAAAACGATTATAATAAAAGTACTTTTAGATGATTATACAAACAGATCGGAAAGCAGTTTCTTACTCTTAAAAGCCATGTAAAACGGACCTTTTTGGGACATGTTTTGCAAACCGAAACTCTAGAAAACGTTTTCTAAGTTGAAAAAATAATAAATGTGTGCAGGAAAGGGAAAGGAAGATGCATTTGGTATACTTTTCATTGGTTACTAGGTATTGCAGTATCTGTTCTTGGAGTGATCAGTATATACACAGGTTTACAAGCCTACCATGAAAAAACATCAAAAAGTGCAAGAATTTGGACAATTATTTTCACTGCTCAAATTTGTCTCATAATCTTCTTGTACCTTCTCCAAGAAAAAAAGTATTACATACAAAATCAAGGGGTGATTTTCGATGCACAACCAACTGATCATGCACTGTCTCCAAGGAATAAGCATAAAGAAACACCACCACAGAATTGTTGAGGACTTGGATGAAACAGAAAGTTTGTACTTTAGATATTGGATTCTTTCTAACCTTCTTCCGCTTTTGCACCATTGCTGTATGAGGAGAGAGGAGATTTTGTTTTCACTTTGTGTTTTTTCTTCTCTTGTACTCACTAAATTAGAACAGAAAATTGAGAAGGGAGTTGTTATTTTTTATTTTTTTATTTTTAAGTCAAGACGCAATTTCTGTTCGCTTAGTATTTGTTGTAACTGTCAAATTTTTACTTAAGGAGTGTTTTGTTTTTAATTTTTTATTTTTGACGTTGAGATACGGCGATTCCCGCTTGACTTTAACATCTCAATACATCAGCTCTAGCTAGTAAATAGTAAATGTTACACACTACATCACAATTAAAACAACGTCTTCTTGTTTGCTAACAATAAAAGATGGAGTGAAATGTTAAGATTTAAATGAGGACAACAGATCTCAAATCTTTTTTGAAATTTTCAAGATTTTGATAACCTTCATGAACCTTGGGTTTATAATCATGTCAAGTTCTTCCTAGACAATATTGCGACATAGGAATGAGGCCTTCGGATTGCACATGTAAAAATTAAGTAATTTTTGAATGAAAATGTTCTTATTCAAATTTGAATGTAACTAGCACACCACAGAAAAAGAAAATTGTAAGAGATTTGATTATTACTTGTAAAGCGAAAGAATGTTTTTAGATAACCGAATCGACGGATTGACCACGTAGTGTGAGTTTGCTAGGGTTATAATCACTCTCCTAACCTTGTGAACTAGATACACTTCATAATCATGAAGTACAAAAATGGGGAACACTTAGAACAGTCTACTAGACTATTTTTAACCCTTTGCATTTGAGCTAGCTAAAGCATGGGCATTGCTTTGCCTTGCCTTGCCTTGCCTTGCCTCGCCTCGCCTCTAGCCTTGACCGTGGGATGATTGATGTATAAGATGATGCATTTTGCTATGAGATGGAAGTGAGGCAATGCGGGATTTAAGTGATGGCAACATAATGTTGGGCATGGCATAGGCAATTGAGTCGGCATGCATCTAAGGCAGGAGAGCACTAGGCTGGAGGCCTTCGTGCAAGGATGGAAAGTGACAAATTGAAAATCCTTATTTTGGATAAGGCATGGGCAATGCCTTGCTCCCATGCCACTTTGGCACAAATGTGCTTTCGATAGGTGCATTTTGTGGGTTCTTGATGCAAGGCAAAGGGTGGTCATGTGAGCGTTAATTGGATTAGTTGTGCATGGACATGACACATAGCATGGGCAGTGCTAGCATACAACCCGCTGTCTCGAAATTCGAACAGGCATGTTCGAGTTTTGAGCATGTAGACTTGGTCCATTACCGGCGATTAATGCAGACGATTTCGAGCCTGAACTAACAGTTATAAGTTATAATCAAATTTTATATTATATTTTAAAATGCTGGTTGAGGCACAGAGGCAGTTTGTTGTTACCCATAAACCACAGTTGCATTTCCATTGTTTTGGTGAATAAAAGGTTGGGTTAGATTCCGCGTCTTGGAAATGCTGATTGAGTGACAAACTTCGGCGTCATCACTTGACTATTCATGAATAAATTTTACCCGTGTGACAACTACAATTGCCAATGTCAGCATACTCACACTTATAACTATTGAGAAGTTCATTTTTCTTCAAAATACTATCTACGAAATGACAATAAAATCTTCATATTTATTCGTATTCCTTAACCAATAAGGTTTTGTGCGTCCTAGTAAATGGAATCCAGCTAAGTCCAGCCAAAATATAAAAGGTTGAGTTAGATTCCAAGTGATGGAAATGTTAACTAAGTGACAAATCTCGAAGTCATCATCACTATTCACGAATAAATTTTAGTCGTGTGACAACCAAATGATGTTAGCACACTCGCGCTTATCTATTGAGAAGTTCATATTCTTTGAAAATGCTCTATTTATGAAATGACGAAAATACCCTTCATATTTATTCTTATTCCTTAAGCAAGAAGGTTTTGTGCCTCCTAGAAAATGGAATCCAGATAGGTCCAGCCCAAATCAAGAAACGATGTATCTGAAGCAAAAAATGACCGTTGCCCTCACGACCCAACAAAACCAAAAGCAGGCGTTCTCAAAATTAGCAATAATTAACAATAGATTTGTAGTAAATCCAACGCCCCTGATAGTTGAAATCCGCATTTATTCCTTCGAATCCGATTCCACAACGCACCTATTATCCTGTGCACTTTCTCCCTTTTTCTTCTTCGGTTCTTCTTGGTTGCAAAAAGCAATAAATAATCAGTGAGCTAAGAAATGTGAAAGAGTTACATGTTCGGGGAATGTGGAAGAAAGGTGCAGAGAAAATGAAAAATGAGGTTTTAAATGGGGTGGAAAAAGAAGAAGAGATGCAGCATCCATATGCATTCCATGTGTCTGGTCCTCGTAATGTGTCTTCTCCAAACTGGAAGGATCTCATCAATTCCAGTTGGTTAGTACCCAAACCCCCATTTTTTTGTTCTTTTATCAGAGCCCACTTCACTACAAGCTTGATTTTATTTGTGTGTGTCTTTGTTTTCTTGATTAATAAGCTGATTTACGCTTAATTAGGTATGCAGAATGCTTGTTTCTTTATTTAGCCCCTGTTTGGTGGGAATTAACCTAAGATTTTTAGTATATTTGGATAGAAATTGGCGAAATGTGCGGTTAAAAAGTTGTGGACGCATAAAATATGTGATTAAAATAAATTGTTGATTTTGATTTAAATTAAAATTTAGTTTTTAATCCGTGCCAAACATGGCCTTAAAAATGTTGGATTTTGGGTTGTTTTTCAATTCTTGGGTGAATAGGATGTTGGTTTCTGTTAATTACTTGTAAAGGGTTAACATTGAGTTGATCTAAAAGGCCATAATCTTTTTACTGTACTTAGATTGGTCTTAAGTTAGATTTGGATACTTTGATTCCATTTTATTATCAATTTTTTTAAAGATTTGATTCATATTGAAAAATTTTGTTGCAGGAAAATGAAGTATATAATTCGACTGGGATTAAAAGATCAGTATTTGGGTGGATTTCTTTTAAAGCTATTTTAGTTTGCAGATATAGCTATCACTTATCAGTGGCACTGACAATAATCTGGACTATTTTTTTTTAGTTTTTCCTTTACCAATAGAAAACTGTATTATGGTATACTAGAGGGATGTTGTTAAATTGTGGTTCTGTTTAATAAGTAGTATTGTATTATTAACACTTGAAGAACAACTAGAACTAAGTCATCACATTGTTGCACAAGATAACTGCAGTGAAGTTATAGTTTAAGGGAGTATTGGCTGATTTTGCTTTAATCGGGTTGGAAACTGGTCGATGCTTTCGCTATCATATGTTGTCTTTTACCACCTTTACACCATTTGTTAATTACTTGAAACTAGTTTGCTATATATTTCATGAATGACCATTCTTCAAGTGAGCAAATTTTTGAATTAGTAATTAAATTGAGCAGTGGAAGTCATTAAATTGATTTTTTACCACATGAATTTGTGCAACCAGATTGGTCAAAAAATTGCTCATGTTTGACTAAGCTTAAAAGCATCTCTTTTTTTTTACTATATGTGAGGTGTTGCTGTCAAAAGAAGGTACTTTTATTTTAAGCTTAGCCAAACATGTCTTTAATCTCAACTTATATTTATGTTTACTTTTGAAATGCTGTTGCAGAGAAATTTAGGGGAAATATGAGATTCTAAATCTTTAGCCAAATTCGTCTGAACAAATTGAAGTACTAAAAGGTTTTAGTATTTACCGGAAACATACTTCGAAATGTCACAATGCTTTCCATGTGTCGTGGAAAGTTTTTTCTTAAATCTTGCAATGATATCCCAACTTTCTGTGTGCATATCGGATATAAATTTTATTGAAGAGCATTTATTTACTCCTATTTCTTTTTTTTATCTTTACATGATGAACTGAAAGGAAAGGCGATTATGTAAAGGGGATAATGCTTAGTTTGTTGTTGAAACTGGTGTTCTCGTCTTTTAAGTATGAAATATGAAATGTAGAATCTTAAGTTCGATTCTTTTTGCAGTTTGGATAGGAGCCAATTCTTCTTTAAAAGTTGAAAATCTGACATGATTTCATTAAATCTGTTTACAGGAAGGATGGTAATTATAAAAGGACAGTAATTGCGTGTTTTATACAAGCAGTGTACTTGCTTGAACTAGACAGACAAGAATACCGAACAGGGGAAAATGCTCTTGCCCCTAAGTGGTGGATCCCTTTTAAGTACAAGCTGGTTGAAACCCTTGTAGACGAAAGAGATGGATCAATTTTCGGGGCTATACTGGAATGGGATCGTGCTGCAGCTTTAGCAGAATTTGTACTCATCAGACCGAATGGAGCACCGAGGGCTGTTTTGGCACTTAGAGGAACACTGCTTAAAAGCCTGACAATTAGACGGGACATTGAGGACGATCTCCGGTTCCTGGCTCTTGAAAGTTTGAAGGGATCATTCAGATTCAGTTGCACTCTAAAGGCCTTGAAATCGATCGCTGATAAATACGGAAGCAGCAATGTGTGTATTGCTGGCCATTCTTTGGGGGCCGGCTTTGCTCTCCAAGTCGGGAAAGCATTAGCCAAAGAAGGAATCCACGTGGAGGCGCATTTGTTCAATCCACCCTCGGTTTCATTAGCCATGAGTCTACGCAACATCGGGGAAAAATCTGGGGTCGTTTGGAAGAGGCTGAGGTCAATGATTACTTTGACTACTGAAACAAACGAAGAGGAAGCTAAATCTATTACTCTGGGAGCAAAGCAATGGATACCCCACTTATATGTAAACAATAGCGACTACATTTGTTGCTATTATACCGATCCAGATGGGACCAACAACAAAACTTCCGATAAAGAAAATGCAAAACCAGCAAATGGACTGGTTCCCGCAAAACTTTTCGTTCTGTCGAAGGGGAAACAGAAGTTTCTCGAGGCTCACGGTTTGGAACAATGGTGGTCTGATGACTTGGAATTGCAAATGGCACTTAATAACAGTAAGCTGATTAGCAGGCAGTTGAAGTCCTTGTATAGCCTCCCATCTTCGCAACAAACACAAAGCAAGAGTTGATCGTGTGAAGTGGTTTTTGCTAATTGTTGAAATAAATTATTTACAGTCGCATAAAACTTTGTGATACCAATTTTTCTAGTTTTATCTGTTGTTTAATGAACTGTATGTGTTTACAGTAATATCATGGAAGTTCATGATATTAGCATTTTTTTTTTTTCTTTTAAATGGGAGTTGGCATAATTTCTGCAAATAATTAAGTCTCTTGAAAATTTCTATCTTGAAACAAATTTATCTTCTCCCACCTAACAATGGAAAATTTTCCGTCAGTTGTAAAATATGTTCCAATGTTAAATAAGTAATATATATATTTTTAAACATTTTAGTTTTTAGGCTAATTAGTTCAATACAATATAAAGGTGATAAATGTACATAGTCCAAATTTTATTGTCATTATTAATGAGAATTGTGCATTTTTTTATTATACATTTGATGCATGTACAGCTGAGTCTGAGTCCCATAGGTTTGCCCTTAGTTGCCAATATATCAGTATCAAGTTTTACATCGTGACACCCTTACTGCTAGAATTTGAAAAAGACTTTTCACGTCATTCCTATTTAGGTCTGATTCGAATCCTTCTGCTGTCTCCTTTTCCATCCGTACCTTTTCCTCGAGGTGAGAAAAGTAACAAGTAGTGAGGTAAGGAGTTGCACAAGAGTGCATTCATCAACAATATATATATATATATATATATA